TCTTTCCCTCAGCTGACCTGCCCTTGGGGGGTGTTTTGGTTTCCTTCATTCATACCTGTTGAGAACCCGGGCTGCTTCATTCCTGAGGTCTCACTTCTGGCCAATCTCGCTGGCACAGGTTTTGATCATCTGTAACCCGTCTTCATCTTTCTCTGCTTCCCTCCCTTGAGATACAGTGATGCGCCTGGTTCTTGTCTCCCCACAGGGTTTCTGGTTTTCCTTCACCTTGACCTCATCTGCCCTGGTTGCCCCTTGGGCTTGTTTTGATCTATGATAAGGATCTTGCTTTTCACTCCCAGCACCACTTGGGCCCCAGCTTCTAGCTTCCAGGTTAGGACCCTTCCTAGACTGGCTCTCCAGCCTCTCTCAGGAGCCCTAGTCCGGGTGCCTCACCCAGCCCAAAGCCCCATGTTGTAATTCATCCAACAGTTTTAAGGTGTTTGAGGTGCCCCTTGTTGTCATCATCACAATCTCAACATTACTTAGTTTTGACAGAACTGGTGGGTTTAGAGACTGAAGAATTTAAGTGTGCTAATATTGCACCACAATGCGATGGACATTTCCTGGGTTACTTCATCAAATAAAAATTGTTTTCAAGTTTAATAAGAAAAGGGCTCATATGAATTACTGAAGAAATATTTTTATAGCACGTCTCTAGAAATACTGCAAAATACTAATATCTTTCTAACTGTTCATTAAAATGCTTAAGTTAGTGAGATAAAAGAAAATGAAAGATCAGCTGCCTACCTCTGCTACGACTATTCTATTCGCTACTTACATGAGAATGGACAGGCAGTAACAATTTGGTACATTTCATTTTCGAATAACTAGTCCCAATTCTACAGTTTCCATTTCTTCCCTTTCACTACAATGTGCCTTTAGTTCCTTACAAAAAAAAGTTTCTTTTATTTCCTCCAATTATTCTCTCCCCACTCCCATTTTCTGTGTTTTTTTTTTAGCCATCTTTATTGGAGTATAATTGCTTTACAATGGTGTGTTAGTTTCTGCTTTATAACAAAGTGAATCAGCTATACATACACATATGTCCCCATATCCCCTCCCTCTTGCGTCTCCCTCCCACCCTCCCTATCCCACCCCTCTAGGTGGTCACAAAGCACCGAGCCGATCTCCCCGTGCTATGCGGCTGCTTCCCACTAGCTAGCTATTTTACGTTTGGTAGTGGATATATGTCCGTGCCTCTCTCTCACTTCGTCCCAGCTTACCCTTCCCCCTCCCGTCTTTTTTAATTTCAAAATCTTACTCCTCTTCTCCCAAACGAATTTACCAAGTTCTTAAAGAGTCCCTTCCCTTGGAGGTCCACAGTCTCTATGGCTGGTCTTTTTTTTTTTTTTCTTTGTAATTTTTTTCCTCCCTGATTTTTATTATTTCCTTCTTTCTGCTGACCTTAGGTTTTGTTTGTCCTTCTTTTTCTAATTCTTTTTTAAATATAATTCAATGATTTTTACTTTATTTATAGAGTTGGCCAAAAACTAAATGTTATTTTATTTATTTTAAGTTTTTATTTAATATTGGAGTACAGTTGATTAACAATGCTGTGTTAGTTTCAGGTGTACCGCAAAGTGATTCAGTTACACATATACATACATCTGTTTTTTCAAATTCTTTTCCCATTTAGGTTGTTACAGAATATTGAGTAGAGTTCCCTGTGCTATACAGTAGGTCCTTGTTGATTATCTATTTTATATATGGTAGTGTGTATATGTCAATCCCAAACTCCCAATTTATCCCTCCCCCTACCTTTCTCCTTTGGTAACCGTAAGTTTGTTTTCTAAGTCTGTGAGTCTGTTTCTGTTTTGTAAATAAGTTCATTTGTATCATCCTTTTTTAGGGTTAGCCTTGAAAGAAAGCCTCTCCTTGTTCCTTTGGGGGGGGGCGCGGAGAGATAGGGGTGGAGCTGCAAGGTAACTGCAGTGAAGTTTGGCTCAGAACATGACAGACATGTGCTGACCATGAGCTTTATTGTCTCTTTCAATGGTGTATCTGTCTCCAGTGGACAGCATGGCCATGCCACTTGGCAAATATTCAATATTTCTTGACCAACCTAATGCTATTTTCTTTGGAAGCTGAGTCCACTGAATCTAGAAGTTGCAAAATAGCAACCTGGGGTAATATTTCAACCGGCAGACAGGACGGACTCCTTTGGCTTGTAGAGTGTTTGTAATTTTTTAAAATGCCTTTAGAGATGGGAAGGTTCTGTCAAGTTTCACATTCCCCATCCCTCCCTTTTGTCTTACTCCAAGCCTGCTTCTCTCATTTCAGGGACCTCCCTGTCATCACGGCTCCCTATTTCCTCTGTTAAAACTTAGACTACACTTAGACTATATCCCAGGGATGGAATGGTGAGAGGTTTCCTCTTCTTGTGGTAGACTCTTCCACCCTAATAGGGATGCTTAATGCCTTGCCTCTAACATACAACAACATGCTTCTTAGAATGAGTAGATGTTTTCAATAAGATTTAAAAGGCTCCTCTGTTACAATACGTGCTTTAAACAGAAGGGAAAAGTTCTCAATGCGTGTGAATCCTACTTGACGTAACCATAAAATTGATTTTTTTTCCCCTTTTTGTCACTCTTCACATCATCTGGGACATAGTTTGACAAACAATTCCAAATCCTACAGATTCATTCATTACCCAGGTATCTGTGTGCCCATATGTTTGATATTGTTCCTGCTCTCATACGCCCCTCCTATCTGACAAGGTTTCTTAAGAATCATACATATATAAAAAAGTATCTGCAATTAAGATTTTATTTCATTCATGTCAGGTATAACAAGTGCAACTTGAATGTTCAAATTCTGAACAAAAAAGGAGAAAAGAACAACAAAAAACTTTTTTTAAAGCAGATTTATGCAAAGAAATGAAGTGGGGGGGGTCATGGGCCCTGTTTTACCTTGAATTATGACAAAAGCAAAGGACCACTCATAGACTTCCAATGCAGGGGGGAATATCAAGGGAATCCTACATGAGAAAAAATGAAAGCAACTAAGGAAAGAGGTGGACCTTTCCCCAGAATTCAGATAACATGCTACAAACTTACTTTCTACTTTTAAAATAGTTCTTAAATAAATATCCAATCCTGGAATTAAAAGTTACATACACAGGCTGATAAAATAATTTACCTTTTGCGTTGGAGATGCATTCTTGCAAAAGTAATACTACCAGCTATCGGTTTATAGGTCATCAAGGGCTTTCATTTAAAGTGCATCTGTATGCTTCTATACTGAGGAGAAAAGAGTCTCTCCAAAACAGAGCTTCTTGAATAACTGCTCTGGGAAGGTCGCCTCCCTCATCTGTGAGCATTTAGAATCTTTGTGTTGACTGGGGCTGCTCCCTCAAATCTTGCCTCTTGGGTAAAATCTATACACTCTCTCTTCAGCCAATAATAAAGAAAACCTTTGGGTTTGGAGGACACTGCAAGATCTGAGACAGAGAGCTCTTTCCAGGTTAGTGTTTATATCAATAGAATGAGCCCTTCATCTCTGAAGAGCACCATAGTTATTTCAATGACAATTAGAAGCTCAAGATCATCTCATAAATAGTTTAAGATCATACAAACAGCCCCCCAATATAACTGCATATTCCTTTGATATCACTGGAGTCCTGTAAACACACAGGGCACCACGATGTATGAGACTGATGTCATTCAAATACATCACCTAATTTATTTATGTTTATATATTTTATTTTTCAATTCCATTATTTATATACAGGTTTTTGGTAATTAAGATGCTGGTGAAAAGTAATTTGTTTAACATTTCATAATTGCGTGCAAAAGTAAAAACACTGATTTAAAGAAAGGTAATTTTTACAACTATTCAGCCCCAACAAATTATGACAAGCAGTTAGGCAATATCATGACTTGCAAAGTTATACTTAGCATAATGTTGCAATTCAAAATATGGCACAGAATTAACAATACAGATAACAGTCCCACTGGCTAAAGTTAGCCAGGTTTTCACAAATTTGGTTTAAGTTGAAGTTTGATTATATAAAAAGGTTCCTGAAAGTATTGAAAAAGAAACAGTGTACATGAAAGAGAATTCAACAATGTTTACAAAATGCCAAAAGTTCTTACTCTGCCCTCCCCCCCCGCCCCCCGCCCCTCTTTTTCCATAAATAATTAATGAAGTCCCCCTTCCCTCCCACCCCCCAGCCTCAAAAAGATTTACAAAGATAAATTTAGCTCAGTGAACAGAACCGAAAGACGACTGTTGTACTGTTGTTAGACAGTACCTGGTTAAAAGCTCAAGCACTTTCGTAAGAATTTGTATATATTGTCTCTTAAGGAATATAAATAATCTGACAGCATTGCTCTTTAGAGTTTTGGAGACTTCTCACTTAGGAGTTACAACTGTCTTTGTGCTTTGAGTAAAACATGAGCTTTAAAGCAGAAAGCTGATGGTGTTCAAAATTCACCATCTTCAAAGTTCATTGTGAGAGTTCTTCTCTGCGGCTTTGAACATCAGGATAGAATTGAAAATTTTGAGGGCAGGGCCCAACTTAATGCTCATAATTTTCACAATGTCTGTTTGGGTCATAAGCAGAAATGCTTCTCCATCAATTTGCTAAAATGGGAGGAAAAACACAGAAGATTGTGAGTTAATCGGATGTAGGGTTATGGGACATATTCAAGGTTCAATTATCAGCTTTCTTACACAGTAACACTAAAACGGCACTGATGGGCAGTTCATGTGTACAAACAGCAGTTCCTCATAAGTGGACCTTTCTTATCTACAACAACACCCCCAAATGTGGACTGGGAACAAAGTCAAATTCATTCATCTGAAGAATCAGCTCAGGAAAGTGGAAGGTGCTCATATCTTTCTGTGATTATTCTGACGGAGGCGCTGAGTCAAGAATAATTTGGGAAAATCCAGGGTGCCTCAAATCCAGTTCTCATCAGGGCAGGTTTTAAAATGAGAGATGAGAATAAGTACATAAATACTTGCAGATAAACAAAGGAATTCAGGCAAACACATCGGCTGCATGCCTTCCACCATGAAGAAAAGAAAATCAGGGCTTCCCTGGTGGCACAGTGGTTGAGAGTCCGCCTGCCGATGCAGGGGATACGGGTTCGTGCCCCGGTCTGGGAGGATCCCACATGCCGTGGAGCGGCTGGGCCCGTGAGCCATGGCCGCTGAGCCTGCTCGTCCGGAGCCTGTGCTCCACAATGGGAGAGGCCACAGCAGTGAGAGGCCCACATACC